AGCAGTACGACAACCAAGAAAGAAGCAAACATACTCAGCCTTTGCAATGGCGCTTCTCATCGTGGACGCTGAGCTTGGGAAAACGGTGCAGGAACTACCAGTTATCATTGGACCCCATTGAGGAGAAACCGTTGGGTTTTCGCAAAAGAATTCGTACCTAATCTTCTTAAAATCGACGAGAATAATAGAAATTCAGGTGTAAGCATTTTGAATACAAAAAAAAAATGGTTTTAGTTCGTAAATGTTTGTAGTTTGTCTGTTAGCTGCAAGAAGGCATTTTTGTGTCACGTGTAATCAGTCAATCGATGTTATTATGTTCAAATTGAAGCCGGTGTATTGGCTGTCAATTTTGATTGTCTCGTCTTGCATTAATATTCAACTACACGTAAAGTTTTAAGCTATTTCTGTATCTATATATTTAAGGATAATGCCAGTGCGATGCGGCCGCGAAAAATTTTTATATTAATTGTTTTTGTATTTAAAAGATAGAGTTCTATATATTTATTGATGAATTTTTAATACTTTAAAGAGATTTATATTTAAAGATGTCTTGTGATCGTAATGAGTTGTATATTTTTTTAAACGAGAACATTTTTCGCGGCTTGGCATCGCCGAAAAAAAATTTTTAAATGTGTAAAAACAAAAAAAAATTATATATAAATTTAAAACACCAAAAAAATATGAAAGTGTCCTTCTGTTTAAGATTTTTCATATCTTTTACTTTTATATTGTTTATCTGTCCTAAATGTGCTTACGAATACCTGTTTCTATTAAGAACTAGTCTATTTTTCATTTTGTTACCATTTAATGGCATTCGAATTTGGATAACTAAATAAATCTATTTGAAACTGACGGTTTATTCTTTTCATTCGTAAAATATTCTTGAAAACCTCTTGCCCCATTTTCGTAATTTGTGACAGCATCTCAAGGTTATTATAGGTACGTTCGATTGAATGACAGGTGACAAGTACTGGTGTAACTTCGGACAGTTCTAGAATTCACCAACGAACAAACCACATTATCAGCTGTTGGAATTGACAAATAGAACAAAACAAAATATTTCCAACAGATAAGTTAATAATGGAAATAATCTATTTGGTTAACTGATATAATAAAAGTATAAAATTACTTAACAACTCCGATATCTGCAATTGAAACATAGATTTTCAGCTGAAATAATGGCCAACATACAAACTAATGAAACTGAGTAAGTATTTTTACTAACATTACAATATGTTTAAAATTTAACTATTCTACGGGTAACTAAATGATTGCATTTCTATAGGAAACTCTGGTTGGGGCCTCATACCTTCCATATACCCCCAGAATTGTTCCAATTAAACAGAAAAAGATTAGTAGAAGAGCTTCGAAAAGTATGTGGAAATTCTGTTGTGCTTCTGCAGGGAGGATCTGAATTACCAATTTATGATACCGATATAAATTATATATTTAGACAGGTAAGAATCAGTTATTTTGTTTCCTAAATATTTACATATTTATAGCTTTCCATATTTAGTGGAAGATTTTAATTTATATAATATACGTCAGTACAATGTACAGTATATTATAATTTCAAGTGTTTTTATCTCATACTTGTATTTTTATTGATTTTTCTTAAGTGTTTTTATCACTGCTTAGAGGGTATTTAGAATATATGCAACAAAAACAAGAAATTGAATATACTTATGTACTTAAGATTGTTTTTTATGTAAATGATTGAATTGGAATTTTTCCAATAAACAATATTCTAAAATCATTACATTTTTTTTAAGGAATCCTATTTCAATTGGAGCTTCGGTGTAACTGAATCAGACGCTTATGGGTTAATAGACACCACTACCGGGGAATCCTATTTATTCTTCCCTCGTCTCCCTTCCGAATATGCTGTTTGGATGGGCCCCCTTAAACTTCTGGACGACCTAAAAAAGAAATATCAAGTAGATCACGTCCATTTTGTAGAAGAGGTATAACTGCACGCATATATTTAACCAATCGTTATACTTATTGTACTTTTAGCTTCCGATTGTCCTACAAAAACTCAACAGGGAAAAATTATTAACATTAGTAAGTCGTAAAATTATTGTTTAATTCGATAGTATAATGGTAATTTTGATTATTAGAAAGGCCCCAACACCGACAGTGGTCTGATTGCAAAAGAAGCTACATTCGATGGAATCGATAAGTAAGTAACATTAAAATCCATCGAATAATTTACTTAACATATTTTATTGTAGGTTTAACGTAGACAACAAAACTTTATTCCCGATTATAGCAAATTTGTAAGTATATAAATCGATTTATACAAAGGCTTATTAACGTTCAAATTCCCGCAGGAGAGTCTTCAAAACCGATTTGGAAATCAAAGTAATGAAGTACGTAGTAGAAGTTTCCTCTGCCGCTCATCGCCATATAATGAGAACGGCCAAAGCCGGCCTGTACGAGTACCAATGCGAGTCGGAATTCCTGAATTACTGCTACAAAAACGGCGGCTGCAGGCACTCCGCTTACACCTGCATCTGCGGCTCCGGCATCAACTCCGCCGTGCTCCATTACGGCCACGCAGGCTGCCCCAACGATTACCAGATCAAGGACGGCAGCCTTTGGTAACTCCTCTACAATCCTACAACAAACTCCTAAAACTACAAGCATTTATTCGCAGTTTATTCGATATGGGAGGCTGCTACTTCGGCTACTCCGCCGACATTACAGTCACGTTTCCTGTAAACGGTAAATTCACGCCGCAACAGAAGATTATCTACGAAGCAGTGCTGAAATCGAACTTGGCCGTGTTCAAAGCGGGCAAGCCCGGAGTGTCCTGGACGGACATGCATTTGCTCTCCAACAGGGTGTTGCTGGAGGAGTTGAAAAACGGGGGGCTCCTGCAAGGGTCTGTCGATGAGATGATGCAGGAGGATTTGGCTGCTGTGTTCCAGCCTCACGGGTTGGGGCATTTCCTGGGGTTGGACACGCACGATGTCGGGGGTTACTTGGACTGGTGTCCGAAGAGATCCTGCAGGCCGGGGTTGAAGAGTTTGAGGACGGCGAGGACGTTGGAGAAAAATATGATACTCACCATCGAACCGGGGTGCTATTTTATCGATCCTGTATGTTATTAATCTTATTCTTGTATTAACTCGATTAATTTGTGTTGTTTTAGCTTCTGGATCAAGCTTTGGCCGATCCGAAGAAGTCCAAGTTTCTCGTTCCGAGCGTTCTGAACACTTTTAGAGGGTTCGGCGGGGTGAGAATAGAAGATGACGTGTTAGTTACGGAAAATGGCATTGTTAATCTAACGAAAGTGCCAAGAACGTGAGTTTAACCACGATAGAGTTGATTTTATTGATTGATGTTCATTTTTTTGTAGTGTTCAAGAAATCGAAGACTGGATGTCGGGGAAAGATGATGATAAGAAGTACTCTTAATATATTATTCGTGGTTTTTGTAATTATCACTATATTTTTACATTGAATTAATTATATACTCTTGTTATGAAAGTTTTTCTTGTATTTTTATCTACTAATTCAAATGATTGAATATTTTTGACATTGACAGTCTGTCATCTAACTGTCATTTCTAGTTATTTTCTAAGAGAAAGTGTAAATATGTTCGAGCTGTGAAATTGAAAATTAAGAAATTATGGAATCGCCTACCCAGGCAAATATAATGCCTCAAATTTTCGAATTTTTAAGAGAATGTCAATATGCTCTGGTTGTGAAAAAGAAAATTAAGAAATTTTATAATCGCCTACCGAGATAAAAAAAATCCTCGAAATGTCAATAATGTCATTAATCCCAAAACTTTTTGATTTCAAAATGGAAGCAAAAACTCCCAATTTGACATTTGCGCATTACTCATATAAAGCGAAAACTAGTGGAATATTACGATGATATTGTTTTCGCATTTATGAAACTCGTATTGCAATAATATGCGTTGTTAATTTTTTTTTTGTTAAAAGTACCTTGACATCGCGCAATTACTTAATACGTAGGTATACTTGCATTGCAACATTTAATCTGTTGCATCTAAACAACGAGCGAATAACAAAAACTCGATATGAAATAGTTGTAAGTATTGCTCGGATTAAAATTACATAATACGTTTACATGGCGATTTCAGCGAGCCGTTTCGTAATATCCGCTTTTTATGTCTCGCACGCTGCCTTAAAGTTTAGCAAAATTCATATCGGTGAATCACCATTAGCTGTATCTGTTGAGTAGATGAAACTTATTATGGCCAAGTACCGTTAATATCAAGCGTTTCTTTTTTTTATGTATGTATTTATTTTACTAAATCAACGTCTGGAAATTGACAATAAATCATTTTCTGACGCCTAATTTAGCGAACGGGTCGATGAATATTCAGTTAACTCTTCGCTGATTATCTTATTATTATCAATTGGTTCGATAATGATGATTTTGTTCTACTGGTGCGATGAACCAGAAAGGGATAAAATATGTGGAAAGTCCTATCCCAATCTAAGGGTACTTGATGCATTAATGAGCAAAGCACGTACGAAAAAAAAATCTTATGCAATGGAAATCTCGTATTACATTATTGTTTGAACAATACGTAGGCAGGTATAATATCTTATTCGATTGTTTTGATCCGTCTGGAAAAAATTTATTTAAGCAATAACTGTGATTAACAAATCGAGTAAATTTGTTTACGCTATACAGTTGTTTACGTTGAAATAAAACTCGGCTTTAGGCTTATTGCTTTCTGTCCCGTAATGTATGAATAACACTTTGTTTTTCTGAGTTAGGCACTTTCGAAAGGCACTTTTTTCGGGATTCTACCGAATTATGCGCGCTTTTATTTAATTTCATTGTACATTAGCAATCGATTTTCCCATTAACCGGCGTACCTGCAACGTTATTAAGCAAATAATGAAATATGTAGTTATTACGAAATATAATTTTTTACAACCGGGATTAAAATTAGTGTGTTAGTTATTAGTAATGCCATGATATAATCAAGATAATTGCAAGGTAAAACGTTTAAGGTTAGTGCTTTGCGATAAATTATTTTGAAATCCGAATATTTGAAGTAATCAATGTCATAGTTTGATTATTTTAGATAACCAGATAATCATGTTATTTAATTATATACGTTGTTTTCGCATGAGTACGCAGCGAAAATTAAATTGAAACGTGCGATCATGAAAAATCCTACTAATACGCAGCAACGTGATTTAAGGAAGTACTGAGAATTATTATGCAACATTACACATCGAAATTTCAAAGAAACTAATTAACCTTCCGAAAAGCACGTTAATATAACAGTAATCGAGATTACTTATCAAACCTAGGATCCTGATTTATGTACATATGTAGAGAGGCAAATTTTTTTTTGTAGTAAAACAAATAAAAGTTTACTCGTAAGCATTTAAACAAGCCCCAGCGGGTCTTCGTTTTAAATTCTTAATGCCCCAATATCCTTTCGGGGCCGTTCTTGGTGCAAATACGACCGACGGGGCGTTCTAAAAATAATCGCATTTGAATTAATGATAGTGTATGTTAGTAAATCGATTGATATTACGCGTACGTGGCAACACCGTTAAGACATCGTAAATACCCATGACGTGACAAGTCATGTTGATTCCCTCAAATCTAGAATTAAGTATTGCGCAACGTTGAGAATGGTCATGGTCAGAGAGCGTGGACCCGCTCGTCACTGATACACTGATAAACATTCTGGTTTTGGTTTCGGCGTCGATTTGATAGCGCTGTAATAGCTGGGGCTTGTGTTATTGCCGATACATTTTTCCAGCGGAGGCGGTTTTTTGAAACAGTTTCTCCTTTGATAGCCGACATCAAAGGGTGGAAATTCCAGACAAGAGCGTTGCTTAATTTGTTTAAAATATACCCAACAATAAATGATTATAATTTCTCCAAAAAGCAGTCAACTATTTAGTAGTTGTTTCTGGGAATGGCATCGAATTGGGACAATTCATGGGAAAATATGCGAGGTAATTTTCGGTGATTTTTACTTAGTCACCGCGCATTTTCCGAAGCTTGATCATTAGTCCATACGAAAATAGAAGCTCGCTACGTTTAGATTAATTGCCCGATGCGTTAGCTTTTAATAAAAAATACCTAGCTCGGTTCTTTGTCTGGATTCCGAGAAAATAATACGTTATTAAACTTTCTTGTCCTCCTTTAATCTTTTTTCCAGGTGCTTCCTCGCCTAAGAAATTTAATCAACTATATTCTTCGCTTTTTTAATCAGTAGATTTATAAATATAGAATTAATTGTTATATACGCTAATCTAATCTACCATCTGCAAATTAAAAAATAAAATATTTTCGAGAGTGCTAAGCAAACGGGGTTGACAGCCTCTAAGTGTACGTTTACATAGGACGCGATGGAGCGATGAGCGTTGCTATGCTATGCGATGCGATTATTTTAAACACGTTCATTGCAATGAAAGCGTTTACATAGAGTGCGATGCGACGCGATGCTACTAAGAGCGATGCGATGCTATCTCGAGCGATGGTTTGGTTTTCAAACATGTTTGATTTTATCGCTCGATATCGCGCCATCGCCCGAATGGACTTAAATTTTTTTTTGGATGTACAATCAATTTTGGAAGCAAATTAGAGAATTTTAATGTATTATAATTTATATTTTAAGTTTTATAATATTATTTTAGGTATTATAATATAATATATTTTATTTATTATAATATATAATATATTTTAATTGAATATATTCTGAAAAATCCTCCACTTATTATTCCATTACTTATTTAAATAATTCTTAACAATTTATATTTATATTCTTAAAGAAATATTCTTTAAATTTGTCTGGGTGCAAAATCAATTTCGGAAATAAGTTGTGAAATTCTCCGTGTCTTGATCTTTCACTATTAATCTCATGTATCCACAGACGCTTTTTGCAATTTAAGTTTTTCAAAACCAAATATTTTAAAGCCAAACTTTCCGCACAAATTATTTTTTTTGTCAGAACCATTGCAAGCAAGCGTTCTATCTTGTAGAAGGAAGGCGATCAACCAAATAAAAATCGCTTTTTATGTGAACACTTGAAAAATATCGCAAGCGATTTATAGCATCGCATCGCATCGCGTCGCATAGCATAGCAACGCTCATCGCTCCATCGCGTCCTATGTAAACGTACACTAATGCAGTGTCCTTCACTTGGTACATTTATCACTGGTTTCAAACGTGCGAAATAACTCGAAAGTCTTGCCAATGCGAGTAATACATCAATTATCAGTTAAAAATATCCGTACACCGATTCCTTTTTGTCGATGTTGCGTGGAAACTGGAAAGCGGGGAATCAAAATTCTTGGAAAAAGAATTCACATGCACAAACCGACAATTGTCAGTAGAGTATGAATAGCTTTCAGGTGTTGTTTGTTACAGTAATCAAGGATATTCCGTTGCACTCTTTCGTTATAAATTATATGAGCAACAAGATTTTAATGTGCATAATTTGCAGTTATACCGGCTAAACGAAAACTTCACCTACGCCAATGTCAACGCATTGATAAAAACAATTCCGTTGTTGTATAAACGCTCATTTAAATTGATATTAAAATAAAAGATGATGTAGTTATCGATAAATTTCATTGTTTCAATACCTACAAAAATCTATCGATATAATCGAGAGGAATTAATTAATGTGAAGGTTTTGCGGATCGTCTCTTTACTTATACAAAAATGAATTCGTAAACGGAATGGATTTCAGGATAGTGACGTCGATTTAAGCACATTATCCTTTCCTCTGACGTCCTTGTTTCTTTAACCTATTCGTTATTTGTTTTTCAATAAAATTAGCAAGGTCTTCAAGGGGAATAACTTGCTTCATCGCTTACAATTCGCATATTACAAATAAAACAATGAAAATATTTAATACAAACTGGTGTAATAAATGAATCATCCAAACAGCCATGTGAATCATCCAATTAATTGTACCTACTTATAAGCTAAAATAAGTTATATGCTCGAATTAAGAGGGTGCTTTGTCGTGTGGAACAAGCTTGTTTGTTCTATCTATAAGAAAAAGTTAAGAAATTATTATTACTGAATACTCCAAACAATTTTAATGATATTAAGTAATTGAATTCTAGCTTGACGCATTCATTTTTGAAGTATACTTATAGATTTGATAAGTTAATTTTCTTGGTATACATTTTTGACTCTTTTTGACCCACAAGTTCGAGAAAATTTGTTATAAAATTGCGACACGAAGAAAATACACAAGTAATTCGGGTCAAGCACATTCAAAAAAGTTATCTGTTACCAATGCAACTATTGGAAAAATTAGACAACAATTTTATTTATCTCTACTAATTTATCGGGAAGAATGTTCGAGTTTAGATACCTATGCATAAAAGTATTACTTCGTAATCAACGCCCTTGATCGTGCTGCTATCCACGTAATACCGGCATTATTAATATTAATTTGTTGATATCATTGCAATAAATCAAACGGGTAATTTTCACGTTATTCTTCTTTGTGCAATTGCAAAATATGTTTATTCGCTAAGGAACCTATTCGAACGATAAAACGACCTATTTTTATTCACCGACATTTACTCGGAAAAGTCGCGCAAAACGGTTTCCTGCGGATTGAATGAATCGGCAGAAGTTTTTAATAAACTTATGTAAGTCGGTTCAAGGATTAATAGCGAATTTGCGACCCGAACGTAAACAAGCTATTTTCGAAATATTTTTCCATCTTTATCTGATAAAATTATTTCGACAACAGAAAAATATATTTCGCATTATCTCGGGTCAACGACATTTTGCAAACGCGTGTGCGAATTATTTTAGAAGATCCTTAGTTCGAATTATTCGATCATACAAACACTTATATCTAATAAATTGATGTATCGTTCGTTTCTCTCTCATCGTACAGTTACTTAATTAACGAGGATTTTTTATTTCTACCATCCTGGGATAGATGGATGTAAAAGACGCAACAATTAATACCATTTAAATCGCATTAGGTTCGAAAATTGCGCAGTAAAAGTAAAATGTTTGTCTTAATTTCTAATAATTAGATAAATGGTGGTCAAAACAAGTTAAAAATAATACGCACGTACTGCTGCATTATTTGTTGCTGGATAAATATTTTTTATTGTCGGATAGTTGAAGCATCGTGAATTTAAATTAATTTCGAAATTAATATACAAATGAAAACAGTTAATTGGGTAACAAACTGCTATTACCATTTTCTGAGGACTTTACTCAAAAAACATTGGTACTTATTGCTTGTTGGAATAATTTTATATCAATTAACTCTAGCATATTTTTCCTTTCAATGATTTATCTATCTATTTACGGATCTGTTAGGTTTTTTTTTACGATTTGTTCTTATTATTCGAGAAAACACTGTAAGAATTTCAGATATTTGAATTGTATACTCATTGAAATGTAACAATATTTAATTTTTTCGAACATCTTAAATGGCATGAGGAAGAAAAATAAAATTTGAAAACGATGTAAATATTTATTTAATACATTAATAGGATACATCAAACGGTAATATGAAAATATGGATATTTTCTTTGTAATATGCGTAGTCGTAGTTATGTTTAATGCTGGACAATTTATTATAAATTTTTCACATTTAGTTACACATAAGGATAGATAAATATATGATGCTACACATATGAGGTTCGGTCCAGCTAGTCTTAGAATAGATATTTTATAAATATACAATAATGGGATAACATAACATAATATTAACCGCTAGAGAATGGTAAATAACAAAAATACATACATTTTTACATAAGATAAATAGTTTACAAAAATCACACATATTTTAGCTAATAGTAAAAAGGTACGTTTATATCCCTATGAAAATATGATGAAATGAAAATTAGGCATGATGGCATAAGATACGACGAAAATGATCATGATGAGGGAGACACAAAAGATGAAAAAGTATAATAGGTGAGTTACATTTAAGAGTAACAATAGTAAAAGCGCCAATAGAGCACATCATAGGAATATGTTGGCAAATTGGAAAGCGGTACTTGTGCAAGTCGAAATATCCTCAATTCAATCAATCTTAACTAATAAATAAATAACTAAAAATAAAATAAATATGCTCCTTTGGAGCACGGATATGTCCAATCTCTTTTGAGAATCATCACAAATTCAGTGGTATTTTTTGGTAACCACTTCATCACATCACAACTAAAACCCTATACCGGCGCGCCCGGCCGAGCTCACTTCTCCTTCCTGTTCATCATCGACTTGAGATGTTCCACTTCCGTCGACAGTCTGGCGATCTCCGAATGCAATCTGCGCTTGGTGGTGGCGTCCCCGTCGGCGCCGTCCTGCACGCTCAGCTGCGACTGCTTCAACGTCTGCAGCGTCGCGGCGGCCGTCGCGGCGGCCGACCACTCGCCGCCCAGCGATATGCCCGAGTCCCTCTCGTCGCTGGACCCTTCGCCGTCCCACGGCGGGCTCGCGCGCGGCCCCGGCTCCTGCTTGATGTTCTGCAGCGACAGCAGAGCGCTGGCGGCGTCCTTGTCGCCCAAGTGCGACTTGTGCCTCAGCTTCAGAGGTAAACTGTTGTTGGCTTCGTTGGTGGTCAAAGCGACCGGGGCGCTTTCGTCGCCCGAATTGCTCGACACTTCGAACGGCGATTGCACTCTGGATCTGGATCGAGAACGGTTCGAGAGATTCAGAGCGTTGTTCGAATCGTAGTGGATGCCCGGGTAGGAGATCTGGTAGTGAGAATGGTGGTAATCCGATTCTCTGTAAGCCGGTTCCAGATGGGCCGAAGGGGGTGTGTGAAGTACGTTGTGGGAGTGTTGCATTTGGGGCGGTGGTGATCCCATCACCGGTTGGTGGATGACGGGCGTCGGGATGGGACTCGGAGAACTGAACAACAACGGGGTAGTCGGATGGGCCAGTTTCTGTCGCTTCGTTATGCTCAAGACTTGTTCGTTCGATGGCAAATTGGCTAAGACTTTTTCAACGCAAACGACGTTCTCACCGCAGATCCCGTACTCTTCCTTGATCGCTTCCAATTGGGCTTTGAGTATGGCGTTCTCCTTGGTCAGTTCGACGACGCGCTGTTCCAGCACCATGTCGTTGAATCGCCTCTTCTCCCTCGATCTCTTAGCCGCCTCGTTGTTCCGTCTCCTTCTGTCCCAGTAGCTGTCGTCCTTCTTGCAGTCGGGCGTGAATTCGCGCTGTTTCCGCTGCGAAAACAGCTCCTTGTGCTTGACGGAGGACATGTTGTAGCCGGGATTGAACTCTTCGCCGCTGTGATTCGGATTGTTCAACATTTCGCGCGAGTGATTGGCCGGCAGGTTGGAATTCAAATGTGGAATTTCACCATTTACAGGAGAACCACTTTGTCCGCGGCCCACGAATTCGGCAACCATTATATGTTGTTTTATAACATCTGAAACAAACAAAAAAAAAAATGAAACGCCGATTAGCAAGCGATGTTCGCGTATAAAAATTTTTAAATTATTGCGATGAAAATTTATATAAAGACAGGTTTTCGCCACAAGTGCAGTCAAGGCCGTCCTGGTTAGCCTACTACACGTCGATGACCATTATCGACTTGCGGTCGCAGGTAAAATGTAATGATATTAATATAAAAAAAAAGTGGATTAGTAGAGTAGTATTATGTAATGGTTTGATTCTAATGAGATTGTTGTTCATTTTGCAAAGATTTTTATTTCAATAGGCCAAACGCCTGTCCGAGCAACGTGATTCCAACACGTGTTGATTCGCGGAAAGCGCTGCACACGTTTGGAATTCCACCTATTCGAAATTTCAACAAATTGAATTTATGTAGGGAGGCGATATATCGATTCACGATGCATCGACGCTCTCTGAAAACTTTTTCCCGCCATCGCGTTGCGTAATTTTGCGAAATTTTTCCGGCGCAAGCGAAATAATTGCACTGAACTTTCGTGGATTGTTCAATAAATTTTTATCACAAACAAATTAAATCGCGCGCACGTATCTGATGCGATAGAAAAAAAAATTACGTACAAATCGCGAAGGAAAATTGCGTTAAACGTTGAAATAATATGCGCCAGTGGCGCCGTGTTTGTTGAGCTATTTGCTATATCGAACCTAAATTAACATTCTTAGAAGCGCGGAATTATTGGCAAATAAACGGCACCTACTGTTAAAAATAAGAAAAAAGGAATTCGTACCGCGCAGATATCCTCAGGAATAATATTCTAATAAAACAATTAGAAAAAAAATCAACAGTTAATAATCAGCTTCGAGCCAGTTTTGTGAGTTTTTCTGGCATATTGACAAGACATTAAAATTTCGTACCGTTAAATTCGCTGATTAAATCGACACTGTTATGCAATTTATGTATTCAAAGCGAATTGTTTCCTACCATGACGACGTAAAAAGAGGATTTGAATGTTGAGCTGCTTCAAATTCAACGAAACTGTAGTTTTAATTGCGGCGAATGTACTGTTATTAATCGTGCTTATTCGGCTGGATTTTTTTGTTCCTCTAAATATCGAGATTAATCGGCGAATTTCCGTTAAAAAAATCGATTGATACACTCCTGATACGGCGATCTGCGATACCGTGAACTAGTTCGATGCGATATTGAGAAAAACTAACAGGCCTCCTTTCCTTAAAATCATGAAACTGGGTCAAAGTCTCAGTTACATAATACGGTAGATCTATATTAAAACCTCGCGCTCGGATATTTGTCAACAATTTTAATTTATTTTCAAATAGATTATCATTATAAACCGAATAAATGTTGGCAACACAATACCGTTGTCAATGAAAAGGTTGTTTGCTTAATGCACAACCCGAGACGTGTACTTGGTACTTGTTGCATTTATTGCGTAATTTGTAATTCTATTGCGGTTCCGGAACAACGATTATATTCGAGAAAAAGGTTGCGAGTATTACATTAACTTCTATGTCAATTAGAGCAAGTTGGATTTTATTGTAAGTGCACTTGCAACATAAAAAAATTTGTCCTTTATATGTGTATATCGGAGAAACAATAAGGCGAAAATAATTTGATAAAACCTGGAATTCCACGGTTGATGGGAAAAATACGTTCGGAATTTTAATTTAAAATCTGGAGTAAGGCACATTCATAATTCACCGCATGCCAATAATATAAGGAAATAATTTTTCTTATTTAAGCGAGTTCGGGATTTTTATAAATAATTTTTTTTATTAAAATTACTCAAACCGGGATGCACGATTATAAAGAAAAAAAATGGGTGTTAGTAATTGTAAAGTGTTTTCGATTAAATTGTTTACGAGATGATTCCCGACAGCTAAGATGTTTGAAAAAAAAAACTTTCTAAGAATTTAATTTCCCAAAATCAAAATAAACAATAAGTTTGGATTTTAAATGTATCACTCAACGTTAAAAAAAAGAAAGAATTTTCAGGACAAAACAATAAAGAAAGTTTGAAATCGAACAACATTTCAAAATCGTTCAATTACTCAATCGCCAAACAAAGGGCGTATTAACTAGATATTACTTATCACTCGATTATGAGTAATCTCCAAGTGAGTCTAAAACAACAAAGGAAATTAACGATAATGCGGTTTTGTAAACAACACAGAGCGCGACATCGAAAAAAATATCGCGAAATTTTATTGTCCGAAAAATACATAAGTAACGCGAAAACAATAATAATAAAACCCATTAGCAGAGTTGAACTTTACAATCCAGCGGTTATTTACCTTTCGGAATTAAAAATGTATGACTATTATATTAGGAAACGTTACGCAAGAAAAAATTCGCAAATACAGACGCGGACGAACGGAATCCGAAATTCGTAATTCGCCTATGATACATTCGAAGCGCGTTTTTAAAAGCGGTTTTGCTTTATCGGATTTTCCTGTTACCAACTTCACAGACGTGAATCATCGTTACGAAGAAAACAATGAAAATAATTCCAGTAATGCCAGCAGCACGACGACGGCCAAGGAACAGCAGTCTAGCAATTAGAATAACTAGGCTAGTGGAATATTAGTTCAAGATTCTTAAGACAAACAACACCGCTCTTTACCATTCATCTTCAATCAGTCAATCAATCAATCAGTCATATTTTTCGTCCAACAGGTATTAGCGCACGGAGTAAAGAGCGAACAATCGAGGCTTTAATAAATACATTTCTCGATTGAATTAAAAGTGTATGGGAAATTATTTTACGCGCCAGAATATTAGCGATAAACAAGCGAGTTAATCTGTTGTTACGTTACTCATCAGAACTTGATATTTTTAGGAAACGCATTAAATATTTCTAATAACGCACCGACTGAATTACATCACACGAATCGGGCACGAGCAACGGTAAATTCTGTCGTTCGTAATGATGTACGAAATTTTAATAGAGCATATCTAAATTCATATGCACGGTAACGAAACACAAGACAACAAATAGGTACCAAACAATCGAATAAATTATAAACGAATTAATCGAGCGCACTCACCAACTATATTCGTTGACGTGACGGTAAAATTTCTCGTCTCGAAACCGAAAATTTTCGAACACCTTTCGATCGGACTGTCAACGTCGGTTTACTCGAAAGCGAAAGAAAATAATAAAAACACAACCAAGTGTTGCACGCCAGTTAGAAACGATATCGCGCGTCCGTACTCAAACGCCGTCGGAACGAGACTGAATCGGCGAGCGTCGAGCGCTCCAAGTTAACTACTGGCTCGGCTCCGGAGCGGAGTCCGGCGCGGCGCCGTTGTCAATCTATTACGTTGTTGACGCGATCGGAATCGCATGCGACCTCTGCGTCCGCCCGCCGCCAGTGCCGCCGGTGGGGCACACAACACACACACACACATTCGCGGAGGACAACACCCTCTGTGACTCACCGATCGCGGTGGGCACAACTCCTATTCTTCACCGGGTTACCAGGCTTTCGCCGATGAATTTTTCTATATCGATTAATTGCAATCTGACGAGGCCCGAGGGGGCTCAAGTTCGAGTTTGATTTTTTACCGCCGTACGTCTGGAATCCGCGGGAATTTGTTGCAGGAATCATCCCTCAGCAGGAATTAGACCCCAGCAGGAATTATTTCTCAACATTAATCATTCATCAACAGGAATCATTCCTCAGCAGGAATCATCCCCCAGCAGGAATCGCCCATCAGCAGGAATCATCCCTCAACAGAAATCATTCATTAACACGAATCATTCATCAGCAGGAATCATCCCTCAGCAGGAATCATCCCTCAGCAGGAATCATCCCTCAGCAGGAATGCATACCTGCATCTCTATTTTGCCCAATAAACCACCCAACCATTTACATTTTCGATTTTTTTTTTCGAAATTAGCAGGAATCAAAAAAATTGTCCACAAACACACTTTTAGAGAAATCAAAACTAAAAAAAAATCGCGCGCTAAAATAATAACCCGCTCGCTCTCTTTGATGGGTTGTTTTGTGTAAAGCAAAAATTATATTTCAAAAAAGACCGGCGCTAATTATAAAAATTTTTGACGAACATCAAAACGTGTGTGTGCATTTAATTAATTCGGTTGCTGAAGGAATATTTTAACGACACCAATTACATGGGATTCGGTTCGCGTTCGTGCAGGCTTTCACGATCCTAATTTTTATCGAAACTCTTTTACACCTAGATGGAAAACATGCTGAATAAATGCATTTTTTTTAATAAATCCAACTAGTATATTTTTCAATTACATCAAATTAAATACGTCATTAAATAGTAAATATATTCTTTGTAATTATAGTTTTAATCGATAATTTTAAGATAATCTTAAAAAAAAATTGATTACATTGTATACCTATTGAATGTTTTTCCCAAAACGGTGTTCGAAATATGAATAAAGATTTACAAATTACTAAGTGAATTTTACGTAAAAATTGCTACATTTAAGTTCGATTGTTTTCATATTTTGAAAAACAATCCACAAATTTCAATTGAATCAATTCGAAATTATTCGTTTTCGATATCCTCATGAATGGCATATTTATTATTAGAAACAACTGCAAAGTAATACCGTCGCTTTCAAACAAATATATGAATGTTGAAAATTATGTAAAGAATTAGAAAAACAATGCATATTGTAGTGAAATATTAATGTTTTGGTAATAAATTATTCCGAGCGAAATTTGTCTTATTTTGTTCGGATTAATAGGAGCATATTAGTCACCTGATCGACCTTCAAAAATCCGTTTGCAGGATTTTCTTCTATAAAAACTACATTTTTCCATTCACAATAATAACTTTTTATGTTAACCCATCTAAATATACAAATTAATTACTATAAATGGAATATACATAGGTTTCTATATACTAAAATAAAACTGTTTTTGTGAAATCTAAAGAAAAACGGGTCACTGTTGTCAGAAACATAGGTCCCTATTCCTGTATATGTGTTACGATTTTAAAGCTGCGTTTCTGCCTTTTAATTAGAATTAATTAAATGGCAACGGGCTTGTTTAGGTTTTCTTTGATGCTGTGCAGAAATAGGATAAGCAGAATGGAACGTTGGACCTGGAAGGCATGCATGGGGCGTTTTTCGGGGAGGTTAAATTTTTATTGCCCTTTGAGTGTCATTCGTAGAAAGCAGATATCAATTTTTTACTGTGCATGATGAGATTAGAATAAATTGGATAAACACGAATTAGTCTGATGATAAATGAAATTTCAAGTATAGGTGGTTTACAATATTCAATATGAAGCAAATTCCAAAGAATGTGTTATGGAATTTTATTTTATAATACAAATTAACGAAAATAACGAAATATTTTTGCAAATAACTGAAAAAAATCCGCGATTTACCCGCAAATATTGTGCAATAAATTGTATAGTTTTATATAATGTCGAAATGAATAAATTAATTAGTTATCTATAATACAAATATGACGTGGCAAATGTTTTGATTAAATTTTTTCAGGACTTACGTAAGTGAGGCTCCTAAATTTAATTTTATGTATATAAAGCAGAAATATATACTTTTTTTAAAATAGAATCCAGTATAGTGGTAATAGTTTATTGCCAAAAATTCGGATTACGTGAATTTGTCAGGTAAAATTTCAAAGGTTAATAAACTTGACAAAGGCTTTATAGCTTCGTTTAAAAATGAGGACGAGCAAAATTGAAATTATTACATATGGATAATTTTTTACATTGGTTATTAAACATCGCATTATGGTAAATTGTAAACAAAGTATGTAAATAGTTTTATCATTGCGTAAGGTTAACTATAATTATAACAATAAGTCTGAGACAGTAATGCGATGGAATAAATCTAAATTTTTGTAAACAAATAATATTTACAAAAAATTGCAATTAATGCCGACAAACAATTTACGAATTCGTTAACATTGTCATAAAAAAATGGATCCAACGAAAACTGATATGTAGAAAAGAGGGTTAAGTACCTCTGCAGAATTTAAAAACAACGTTGTTTTGTTGAAATTTTTTTGAAACGTCAATAACATGTTATTTATAATGTGTCTGCAATGCATTACAGGTATGGTAAAAATACTTTATAACCCACGCGAAAACAAAAATAAGATTGCATTGGCGGCGCGGAGGTCAAAAATCCGATTTTTTTTATAAATAACTTGTTTATTATATCAATTGAATTTTTATCTCTGTGTAAAAAAAATTACCTACCACAATAAATTACTTATGATACAATGTTTTGTTATTAGCGAATTTCGAATACACATTATTTTGTAAATATTTAAAATTAAACGCAAAGGACTGACCTTCAACTTTCTTTTTGAAAATATTTTTTTCACTCCACAAATTTTCCTAAATAACAAAACTAAGTTTTTTTTTCAATTTATTTACACAATATGCTGTCTTATTAACAAAATTACATGATTGATTACTAATGGATCCACAAATAAAGTACACATACATATTGCAAAACCAATTAAGGAAAATTTGAACACAACAAACATTTTCAAGAAATGGAAATTAAAAAATATAAAGTATTATACCTACACCGGTAGATAATTACCACAGTTTTAATTATATGTTTCAATGTAAATTTCCCCACGATGACACAGGTATTATGAAATATCGATTTATCGATGAAAAAAACAAAAAATCGACCTCCAATGAAGAAAAAAAATAACCATTTATCTCATCGATATAAAACATTATTTCCTTCAGTATTCAACAAATAAGGAAACAGAATGACTTGGCATTGGCAGAAATGAATATTTCGTAGCAATTTCCGGTTGATCATGATTATAACCAGGACCTCTTCTCCATTCGATAACATGATTCAGTCCCGTTGGTAAAATTACGTAATCGTTATTTGCGCTTATTAGCGAATTTAATTAGAAAAATTTTGGGTCAATTAGAAAGTTAGTGCTCGCGATGAGGCTGGAAAACCATCTGAGAGTTTCGGAGACCGCGAGCAAGGGCAGGGACACGGCGCGAGAGCGCGTAATGAGACATCCGAATGAGAAGAAACGAAATAGAATATAGAAAGCCAGACATATCGATCTGACTGTGCTCAAGTTCAAAGCTACTTTAATGGTTCTCCTAGAATTCCAATTGGTAAACATTTTTCGGCGATAATGAATCTCATTTTGCAGCCTACCTGCTTAGAGGTGAACTTGGAGTATAAATTAATTTATTACGGCGATTTTTTCGCTCGAAAACAAAACGAAAATAATCCGGCGAGAAATTTTTAAATAATAACAACGTTTCAATGAAACGGAGCTGAGATAACAGACTTTGTCTGAAAAATATTGTGCATATGGAAATTGTTTATGCAATTTTTAATCGTTTTATTTAGTTAAAGTTATACATTCGGAAAAAAACCGATTTTTAATGTTGCATAACTTTTATAATAAAGTATAATAAAGAGACTTGGACAAACATCAAGTTCTATCGGTTGCAGTGCTTAGGTCGTGTCACCTTAGAACAAGTTTATCACAAACGGAGCTGAAAATAAAAATTTTTGTCATCGATTTGAGCGAACGAGCACAAGTTGTAAAAGATTCTGTTGACTTAGGTTAGTGTTGTGCATACAAGATTAATACGTATTTATAGCCTAAAGTTCAGGGTTTCATGATAGCTATTCCGTTACTGTATTTGTCAAGTGAAAAATATGCTCATCAAAAAGTTCAATGCCATTGTAATTTTACGATCAAAAAAATTCCGAATTAATCACTTGTATCCGGCGCATCCGAATTGCGAAATGCGGTCAGAAATTGTTAAAGTATCAGATTTAAATTCTTTGAACAAATTATACCAAAATATGTTCCTATACAGAGTATAGGTCACATTTTTGAAGATAGTGAAAAAAAAACACATCAAGTGCGATCCCACTTTCACCTTCCCTTGTATTTTATTTACTGCTGGTGCTTGAAGGAGGGACCAGCAGTCTCAAATGGCGATAAAAATTAGCGAGAATTTATAATTTGTAAATCGTTATTGTTTTTTTAAATTTTACAGAGTTAAGTCTAGCGTGGGTGCATGTTAAAATTTGTACCATTCAAATAATACCGAATTTAATATTTTAGAAGAATAACAAACATGCATAAATGATTTTGCCATGTTTTTCCACAAATAAATTCATGCATGTTGCACCGATTGCACACATGTAGGTATTAATTGAAAAAAAATCATCCCTAAAATACATTTTGAGACCTGCATTTTTTTTCACAAAAATATTTTTGTTTACACATCTTTGCAGTAACTTAATCTACATATTTTTTAAACAA